CTCACAGGTAGTAAAGTGAAACCCGAAGAGACAAACCCTGAATTTGAGAGATGGATGCAAGAGAACTATACCGTCATAGGATGGTTGGTCAATTCTATGCAACCTCATATAAGTTAGCATTATCTCTGGATGTCTTCGGCTAAGGAGATATGGGACAGTGTTACTGAGACCTATTCACAGAAGTTGAGTGTAGCCAGAGTCTATAAGTTGAAAAGTGATGTGAAGAACCTAAGACGGGGGGAGAAGAGTGTAGCAATCTACTACTCTATACTGAAAACCCTATGGCAAGAAATTGATGTTATGGAGACAGTTGTATGGGAGTAAGAATGATGCTGAAATGTATAGGAAGTTGGTGGAGAGAAATAGGGTGTTTGAATTTCTCACTGGACTCAACCCTGAGTTTGACATCATTAGGTAGAATATCCTGGCCATAGATGAGGTTACTCTTTCCCAGGCATACGCTATGATAAGCAGTGAGGAGAGTAAGCAGCAGGTTTAGTTGCAGAGTCCACCTACAGAACACTTTGCACATGCTGGAATAAAGCCAAAGGGTCCAACTGAGAAAAGGGAGCAAATATGTGAATATTGCAAGAAACTGAGGCATACAAAGGACACTTGCTGGAAGCTTCATCCTGAGCTTCTTCCTGATAGGTTTAAGAATAACAACTGCTCTAAGAAGGGCAATTGAGTAGGAAAGCCTAAGACAGCTACTGTTGCTATAGTACCTGAAGGAGGAAATAAGGAGTGAAGAAAAATCAACTATTGAGCAGTTGGCAGCAATGAAGGCGGATTTTGAAAAGTATGGGAGGCTACTAAATCACTTGGAAGCTATTATTTCTTCATCTCACTCTTCCAACAACAACATATGATCTTCATCTGCATTTGCTCACTCAGGTATTCGTGCTTCTGCAAATCATGCTTCAGTTTCAAGTAATCATAAAATCCCTTGGATTATTGATTCCGGTGCATCGGACCATATGACCAGCCTGTCTAATCTCTTCTACTCATACCACCTTCTCTCTAGAAAAGAGAAAATATCCCTTGCTGATGGGTTTCTTGCTCCCATCTCTGGTAAAGGAGATATAAAGACCTCTAACACCTTTTATTTATCCTCTGTCGTTCATGTCCCTAAACTTAATACAAACCTTTTATTTGTTAGCAGCTTAACTAAATCTATGAATTGTAGCATAACCTTTTTTCCCACTCATTATGTTTTTCAGGACCTGAAATCTCAAAGGATGATTGGGAGTGGCCATGAGGCRAACRGAATATACTTGYTGGACACACCGGATAGAGCTTTTGGACCACCTCATGGAGTTGCCTTAGAGTCAGTTTTGTTAGAGTCTGTTAACAAAGTCTTGTTATGTCACTTTCGGTTTGGTCATTTGTCCTTTTTCTTCTTTGAGTCATTTGTTTCCAGATATGTTTAAGGGAGTGTCTTTATCGAGTCTTCATTGTGAGTCATGTGAACTGGCAAAGCATTGTAGACATTCTTATTCAGTAAGCAATAAAAGATCTCTTTCTCCTTTTCATATTRTTCACTCTRAYGTGTGRGGGCCATATCATTTGCCAACTATGGGGGGTTAYAGGTACTTTATCCTTTTTATTGATGACTACTCTCGTTACACTTGGATTTATCTCATGAAATCCAGGGATGAAGTACTAGCTATTGTGCAAAAATTTCATGAACTCATCCTGACCCAGTTTAACACTCATATCAAAATATTCCGTTTTGATAATGCTAAGGAGTATTTTGAGAAAACCCTCTCCGCTTATCTTGAAACTTTTGGGGTTACTCATCAAAGTTCTTGTTCCTACACTCCACGATAGAATGGGGTGGCAAAAAGGAAGAACAGACATGTGGTTGAAGTTGCCAGATCCCTCTTGTTTGCATCCCATGTTCCTATAAAATTTTGAGGAGATGTTGTTCTTACTGCTACTTTTTTTATCAACCGTATGCCTTCCCGGGTCCTTAACTTCAAAACCCCCTTTAGCCTTCTCTTCCCGGATGAGGATATTTTTTCTCTTCCTCTCTGTGTGTTTGGGTGCACTTGCTATGTGTTAGAATGTTAGAGTGATGTTCGGCTGATAAGAGTTCTTATTAGCCCATTCTTAT